CCTCCTTCTTCTTTCTCATATCTCTCGTTGAGGGCGCAATCCCTCGCCGCCTTCTCTCATTAACCCCCCCGAGTTCCCCGAGAACATTCGCGACGATTTGTCCACGTCCTTTCCGCAGTGCGACCGCCGTGAATGTGAAAGAGACAAAGTACGATATCAAGTAATTAACTCGAGGCTACCTCCGGCTTCAGCCATATTTATTGTTGGAGAAGTTGCGGTTGCAGCGCAAGAGAGACGATTAAACAAAGTTCCAACGCGGGGAACGCGATCAATCTTCCGAGGAGGATCAATAGGCCACGTGAAACTATATTCTTTTACAGACAGTTTCCGAAGCGAAAAGTGAGCGCTATTTTTCTACCGATCGCGCGGGGACTTGGGACCAGTGAAGATCTCGTGGATGCGTTAGCTGCCGTGTCTGCTCGTAGCTCGATTTCATCTACTCGTCCGCGTGGAAAGAGTCGACGCGCGTTGGTGGAAAATTTCTTACCTTCGGTGCGCGCGACACACGTGCAAGTGAACGATTACGTGCAAAAGTTGATTGATGTAAGATAGCGCGGTGCTTTTGTTACTTTACTCGGTATTTTTCACGACGTGGATAAATGATTCCCGTGAACTTTATTCGCGGGCTTCTCGCCTGTTCCAGAGAAAGAGATCTTCTTTATTTCTCTTCTTTATTTTCATATCTTTCGCGTACCTCCCTTGTACCTACCTTCTTTATATTATTTTTTTTCTTACATATCTTCTTTTGTTATATCATATATCTCGCGCGACGGTGCTACTACCGAGTGAAAATCCTGTAGACGAGAAAGGTACAACGGAATCTCATAAAGCCAAATTTGCAAAATGTCTAAAGATAAAAGATAAATGCCATTTCGTGATAGTCGCGAACACTAACAGCCTCGCATCTTGATCTCTTTCGGCGGCGAGTAAATTTTCGCGACAAATAACTGTACAATTGGCAATTCGCAGGAATTCGTGACGTAGGAATCATCGTGAAGATTTGAGGGCGTGTTAGCGATACGTCCAAGATATTTCGGCTTCCGATCGTCGTCTAGTGTTACGAACGTCGCAAATGTTTCGACGTTCCTCGTAAAGATCCGCGAGGGAAACGCGTGCCGCGAGGGTACGGGAGAAACGGCACGGAAAGGAGAGACGAAGGAAACGAGCGTGTTGTAAAGCTCTAAAATTAGAGCAACGTGATAGAGAAGGGGACGGGCTCCTTATAGAGCTTGTGCGCGAACGCCGGAGCTTGCGGCCAGGGTTAGCAAACTGGCATTTTCTCTTTCTCGCCTCGAAGTATCGGATTACCTCGGGAACGTCGGTGCGCATCGTCCAGCCCATTCAGCTTCGGCTTTCCTCCGGGACACCCCTTTTCCACGCAAGGTCCGGCCAAGCCGCGAGCATTTTTGTACATCGTGCCCCTCGTGCCCTTCTCCGGGTGCCATCCCCGTGTCCATCCCCTTTGCCGCTTCCTCTCGCCTGGCCTTTTCGACTTCTTCTTCTTCTTCTTCCGCGCCGGAAATTGTGCGACTGATTACCGATTTTTCATCCCTCCTTGAATCTCGCTCGGCTTTTCTCTCCCGAATTTATCGCGCTGTGATTGACAAGTGATTCGATCGAGATCGTTTATCACGGAATCCAGAATCGTGACGTGTTCGTCATAGGAGCAGAACCCCGGTAGACCGAGATATATCCGTAATTTTGAGTTGCGAAAGAGCGCGATGTGATTATCGTTCTCCTATGTTTTTATACGAGGACGTTAGAGAGAAGTGTTACGATATAATTCGAATTGCGCAATTTTTTTCTTCAGAGAGATTCGCGATGTGTCGCGATTTTTATCGTACAGTGTGATCTCACTACCTAACGTAAAAACACGCCGTTCGTCTCTATTCGCTGCACCAGTTATAAAAAAATAATCTCTCCTTCGACCCTCCATCATACTCGGTAATCAACGTTTCGTTTTTTGTGTTGCAGCGCTTTAAGTAGCCGCCAACATGTCGGACGACGAGGAACAATACTCGTAAGTAGCTCACTGATCATTACTCTCGCAAGCCGATCGTGCGTATTCATCATCCGCATCGTTCGCCCTCGCGGTTCTCAAATCTCATCACTTATTTTGAAACTGATGCAATTTCAATTTTAGAACGCCATGAATCCCGACGGGCGATGTAATGAATTTCACTTGCCCCTCGAACGAACGTAGTAAAGAAACAAACAACTTTGCCTCTTTTTTTTTTCTTTCTTTTTTCTTTTCTTGGAGAACAGATTTGCATAATTTTCAAAATAAGCCTGCGAAATATGTTCCACGCTGATATCGCTGCTCTCCGAGACGAGTAGATCGAAAAACGCGAGCGAAAAGTGCCGGGGTATGCGCCAGTGATTTACAGATTCGAGAAATCAGATCTCTGCCGATGCCGAACGGTAGGCAGGATCGTGACACGCTCGCTGAGCTTTACGCACGAACCAAGTACCCGAAGTACACGAACGAAGTACGGGAACGAAGTAAATCTCGTCCACGTAAGGTTGAAACAGCGGCCATGATCTGTGGTGGCCTCGTCGTGTTTCTAATGTTCTACAAACTTGTCTAACTTTGCCGTCTCGATGCCCGCCCCTGCGTGCGTCACGTCCCGATCGCACCCACGCACGACCCCCTTAATAAGCTCCCCGTAAACTCTCGAACCAACCGAGATACTTCACCAACTCTCAACCAACTCAAATACTTCAGTCAACACTCCTAACTGTTACTCGATGCTATTTTTACACACTTAATTATTTATACTTTCTTTTATGTGCCTTTACTTACTTGAAACTTTCTGGAAGAGTAGAAGAAATTTCTCGCATAAAAGTACGTGTATTTGCTCGTTAAATTATTTGATTGATAGTAAATTATTCAATTGTCTGTTATCACGAAATATCTTAATTTAATATTGTAAAAAAATTCGCTTTTGAATAAAGGAAAGATGAATATATAACTCTACAAGTCTACCTAGTAAATAGAAATATAAAATTTAAATTCAATTATTTACACTTATCGCAACACAATCAGAAACACAACTTTATTGTAAACACAAATTTATTGTAAAATTTGTAAAATTTGTATAATTTGTAAAATTTGACAAATTTAAAGTTCACGTAATGACACACACACACACACACACACACACACACACACACACACACACACATATATATATGTCAGAAACTAATCTGATTGAAAGAAAAAGAAGCGAGAGCTTTTAGTGAATCCTAAAAGAAATCCCCTGAGCCCCTAACTTTTAAAAGCAACTACCCTCTGGACTC